CCTTAATGTGCTTTCACTATGTGTATTCATTTTATTAGTGCAGAAAAATGTGAGAAGCCCAGTTACCAACAGGTACATTGCCTGAATTTTTTGACTTCTCATTAGGTTGGGTTGCAAAGAATTTTGTATTGTCCCTGTGTATTGGCTGATGGATTGAGGATACAGTTTTATAACCGAGACCATCTAAAGGTAGCAATTCAGTGACACGTCTGAGTTTCACTTCCAAATTTCTCCATGTCAACTGGGGAAATTTTAGCACATTTGCCATCCAGCTTTTACGATGTGGTTTGGTTACTTCCTGCAGAAAGCTATGAGCCTGTGAGATCAATATTAAGATTTTGCTTCCTTTTACTCAAAACAATGAAAAATCCATTGTTCTCTCTCATTTCTCCTGATTTTTATTGATGCCAGTTCCCAGGGCTGCTGTTGACTTTATCCAGACAAGCACCTTAGCTGAACCTCTTCCCTGTTCTTCTCCCTCAAGATCTGCAGTAATCAGCCATTAATATTTTATTGTGCAATGGCTAGAGTTGGAGGAAACTGTGGCACCCCTTATACAGAGGGAGTGGGAAGATTATTGTGGTCAGTGATCTGAGACCAGCTGAAAGACTACATAGGCTTTTTCTTTCCTTTCCTCCTTGTAAGACTCCAAAATGAAAGGCTGAGAGTTTACATTCTTGAGGTTTTGGTAGACGCTGTCTTCACTGCAGGTCTATGTTGGACATCTTAGCCCAGAGGCCAGGTTTTTGGGTGGCCCTCAGTCTGACATGCCCTCAGTCTTGCTTCTGCTTTCCTGCACGGCAGGCGCTCTGCCTGGGACAGAGGTGGGGCAGGGTGCTGCTGTGCCTGCAGGGCCCTTTGTATGCAAGTGGAGCAGTGCTGGGATAGGTCAGTGTGCCCAGCCAGGGTTCTCAATCCTCACCAGGATTTCCTTCAGCCACTACTCCCCTTACAAAGCTGGTGGGTATCTTGTGATATTTCTTTTTCTTCTCTACCTAGGCATGCCTACACTGGCACAATTTTTGCATCAAGTATGTGGAAAATCAAGCTTTTTTTCATTGAGCACATAAGGGAGAGGAAAAAAACTTGGCCCTTGATAGGACAACTGCTAGCAACTTTCTTCAGCTCCATTCCACCACCTTTTCTTTCCAACCCCATGTCAAGATCCCCCATCTACTCTCCCAAGCCCTGGAAAAAGAGGAGGAAAGGCAAAATGGAGATAAGGCAGCAGGATTAGAGATGAAGGCATTGCGTGGTCCTGTTAAAAGCTCCACATGCTTTGGCAACACCTCACTTGTATTGCATATGAAGCTAAATGGCTGGATGTCATGAGACCATTGCACTGGCTGTGCTCCATGATTTCTGAGAGCTGTTCAGTAGTTTGAATTCCCACTTACAAGGAACTGGCCAAAGCACAGTTTTTGTGGAAAAAGGCTCATTATACTTCATGTTGGAAAACAAAAGAACTGACAGTGATTAAGTATGGATATACACAGATGACAGAAGCTTTATGAAATGGTAGACGACCTGTAAACTAGTCTTTCTGCTGTGAAGTATTTGTGTTAACCAGGGGAACAGTTTGAACAGTAAGGACATACTGTTTTGCCTCTGTTAGAGAGAAACTAACAACAGAGAGGTTAAATGTCTTCTCTGAAGTTAGCCAGCCTTGTGCATGCTCTGTACATTCCTGTTCTACACCCTGCATTGTGCCTTAGTTCCAAAGCTTCATCTTTTTTCCTGTTACATATTTTCCTGTTACATTATATACACAGAAGAGGCAAATAGTATAATACGTATAGGAATATATGAACTTTCTTAGTTAATTTGTGGTTTGGTTTTTGGTGGCTTTTGTAAGGTCAGACAGTAGACCTGATAGATCTAGACCAAAACTAAATAGCTAAAGAGAAAAAAACCACCCTTTTTTTCAGACTTGCTTCTCTCTCTAGTCTGCACTCCTCAATTTATTGACACAGAAATAAGCACAATTTTATGGACATATTGAGGAAAATCAAAGGAAATTAATAGATATAATTTCCAGAGGGGACAAGTAGGAATTTCTTGCATCTCCTCTTACTCTGTTTACAAGTGGTTCAATGATTGCTGAAGTTATAGGAGATTTGAATGCATTTACCTTTTATGTCAGAGGAAAGGTAAACAATCTCATGGAAAAATGTGTGTCTTATATACATAGTAAGTGTGAATATCAATCTTCTACATATACAACATTTAAGAAAGGACTTTTTTTCCTTTTTTTTTTTTTTTTTTTTTTTTTTTTTTTTTTTTTTTTTTTTCTTTTTTTTTTTTTTTTTTTCCTTTTTTTTTTCTTCCCAGATGGCTGGCTTGAGTTATGGATCTTATGTGAAGGTATTGGAAAGCTTTGTGGCTGAGCCAGGGACCAAACTCAGCTCTTTTTATTATTAGATAAGCAATCAGACTATAAGACTGCCCTTCTACATGCCACTACTTGGCTTCCCTTCTCCAAGTGGAGTAGAGTTGCCTGTTAGCTGGCTGTGAGTTCCTCTGTTCACTCTGTTCAGTGAGTACTCACAAGTTGTAAATATTCAAGACAGTTGCAAAAGTTTCCTTGTTGTTAAAAATAAGATTGCTGGGGAAGTATTTGTTCAAATGGCTTTGGCTTGAAGGCTAGTTTCTGCAGGACTGATTCCTTGGACAGTATTATTAGCCACTTGGGGGTTTCAGTTTATTGGCAGGTTTACCTATTTCCTACTGCAATGAAAGTTTTTTTTGCATTACACTTGACTTTCATAGTAAGTAGACACTTACATGAATAAGAAGGTAATTGGATTCTTCTTAGTATGATATGAAACTAGTTTAAAATGATATCTGAAAAAATAGATATTTTGCCTCCTTGTGGGAAAGGCCTTGAGCATTTTTGTTGCCTGTGATTTCTAGCTCTGCCATTGTCACCATTCTACAATATCTGTTGTGTCAACAAAAAATAATTTAATGTATGAAATGCAAAATCATGCATCTGCTGACACTACTTTACTTTAAATGTAAAAAACCCTGGGCAAAAAAACGCTCAAGTAGAAGGAAGGAGAATTTCTTGCTTGTTTTCAGATATTAGCTCTTATTCATACAGACAACAGTTGAGTTTTAATGCTGTGCCTAAGTTTTATCAGTTAGTGTGTTTTATCCTATGTTCAAACTGTACATTTGCTCTGCATATTCTTCAGATACTTTCTGCTGAAAGGTGTAAATACACAGCCCTGAAATGTTCTAGGAGAACCCTTAGATGTCTGTGAACATCAGTGCAAGCCTGGATAAGAGTTTTGGGCACAAGAGTGATGGAAAAAAAATAAACTAGAAATTGGATTATATGAATCTACTTTTGGTTTTGATAAATCAAAGCAGAGCAGTTTTGGTTTGAAACAGATTATAGAGCCATGAGTAATTCAGGCAAATGCCTCTGCCATGTCTTTAAACTAGCTTGAGTTTTTTACAAACTTGGCTGTGATTAAACAAATGTATGTGTATAAATAAGAGAGTATGGAGACCTGTGCTTAACAGAGTGTAACTTCTAATTCCCACAAATCTGAAGATTAAATCTCTTTTGTACTTCATACTGTGTAGCAAGTCTCTTGAGAGCCCTCTGACTTTGTGAAATGAAAGTATGTAAATTTAAGGCACAAAGATGAACAGAACAAAACTACTTTTTGTCATGAGAGAACTCCATTTCTATTTTATGTTGTAGACTCTGCAAACTGCAATAGCTGGTGTACCTCAAGGATCACTTCTGTAAAGACAGTGGTGGTAAGCTGTGAGCTCTCTGCAGTATTTTGGGTCAAGGATCTTTGCATTTCAGGGCAGGACTGATTTTAACAGTGATATAAAATGATATATTTCCCTGGAGTTTTTCCTCATTACTCTATCCCTTTCTTGTTACACAAATCAAGACTCTTGTCAACTCATTCACCTTTAGCTCTTATTTACCAGATGCATGCATTTTAAAAATATTTTTCAAACACTTTTCATAAGATTGGGGCAGCTTGTTAGAAACTTCAAGTAAAACCTCAGAGACATACTAGATATGTGAAGAAGCAGCACCCAACCTCTTCAACCCGATACCTTTCTTCCTTTCCTTTGTGTTCTTAGTTTTGAAGTAAGATTAAGAAAAAATTATTTATTACAAGTCAATATCTGCTCAATTGTGTGTTCCTTGTATTTTTTTCTGAAGGAGCTGTAGCTCCTGAATAGTCTTGTGCTTGATACTCTGAGCAATGGTATCAGACGCTCCGTGGGAGCTGGGCATTCGGTCAGTATTGGTGTTTTAATATAAGATCCATCTATTGCTTTAGTTTACATTGAAACATGGGGGATCTCTGCATGCCAAGGGGCAAAACCTTCTCTGCTTTCCCTGGGGGAAGACGCTGTTGTGGCTGAAGTGATGGTGACCAGTCCTCAGTAAGGCCCCTTTCTGGGCAGAAACTGATGAGGCTGGGTGGTGCCCATGCTTCTTGCTCCAGCTGCCTGCTGCTCTCAGGATGGCAGGAGTTAAAATTCCACCCAACTGGTGAAACCTGCTTAGGGCTAATTATAAACCAGGTTTAAAAGTAGGCTGATGAGACCCTGCCAGATGGGACCTGCCTTCATGTTTCTCCCTGGCAGCTGTGGGTGTCTGTAAAAAATCCCTTCCCTCAGCCCGTGCATTGCATATTTCCTCTGTGGTTACAGCTCTGGAAAGAAAGGAAAAAAAAACCCACACTCCAAAGCTCCAAACAAATGCACAGAGCCCCCCAGGCTGCTGCTGTCCCTTCCTGGCAGGCACTCGAGTGCTCAAAGGCTATCAGTGGAAGTGGTGAGGGGAGAGAGGTTTAATTGATTTTATTCTTGGTCTCTGCATGATGGGTGTCACTGTTTGACTCAGGTCTGACAACAATGCTCTCGATCCCCTTCCCCTCCCACCCAGGTAGGGAAGGAGAGAGAGAAAAAGAGAGAGACTTGGCTGGATTGAAAACTAAACTACACAGCTCTTAAAATCAAGCCCCATGTTGGATGGCAAATGAAAGCTCCATGTCCTTCTCGTGAGCTTCAATGCAAGACTTGATGTGCTGAGATCTCTGTGCAGCATCAATTGGATGCAAGACCTGCAGTCCACACATATCACACACATTCCCATGGATATACACGCAGTTTTCCCCATAACAACATTCTCCTACTGCAGCGTAGGGGCACAGCTCCTTCTTTATCTCCACATCTAGTTGCTCCTTTTCATACTCTTCCTCAATCACCATTTCCTCCAAGGGTGCTTCAGCACAGGAAGAAGCAGCACGTCCACAGTATGGCTGCCCAGGGACAAACTCTACAGCGTTCACCCAGTCTTCAGCACCTACTCCTGCAGCTGCCAGATCTATATTTTCATCTTCTATCTCAGCAATAATTTCTTCAACTGTTTCAGGGAGTGATGTGAAGTCTTGAGGACAATGAGGGATAAATCTTTGCATCTGGATTCACATCAGTCACTTCTTCCTCTTTCAGTGGCTTGGTATGTTCATATCTGCAAAGACCTCCGTAAGCACAGCATCCTCGCTGATAATACCTGCACACCATGGCAGACTGACTAGTAGAGAGGTCATGGGAGTAGCGACAGTTCTCTCCTTCCTTGCAGACTCCATGCATGAAATATCTGAGCTGGGAAGAGTCCCGAGGAATCCTGGAGCTGCTGCTGGAGAAAGCGGAGACTGATGAGGGTGGGGAGAGCTTGAGCTTGGGGGTCAATGGTGATGGATGGACGGAGACCTCCCCGGATGCCAGCCATGGACGGAAGAGAAAGGAAGAAGCAGCAGGAAGGAAGTTGTCTTCTGTGATCTCTGACCTTCCTCTGAGTTTACGTAGATATATGGAATGGAATATCTCTGGCCAATTTTGCTGTCTGTCTAACTCAGCCTCCTACGGGGGGGTCACAGATCTCCCCGGCAGAGTGAAGGTGCGACCTTGAAGCCTCAGTAGTTAGAAAAACATTCCAGTGTCTTATCACCTCTAGCTAGGACACATTGTTGTTAGTTAAAAGAAACTTACTGAAGGAAAAAAAATCAGTAAAAGGAAAATTGGCTTCATCCTGGCTCCAACCAGGAGAATGGGTCAAAAATTTTGTTCTGAGGGAGATTTAGATGCTCACTATGATCTGACCAATCGCTGTTCCTTACCTTACTTGAAATTGATTTCCATTCCCCTCCTTCCTGCCCCTTTTCACCCCCATGTTCTCTTTTCTCCCCCACTTCACTTCTTTGCAAAACCAAGAAAGTTTAGTTCTGAATTAGATCAGCCTAGAATCATAGAATAGCTTTAGTTGGGAAAGACCTTTCAGATCATCAAGAACAACTGTTAGCTTCACACTGCCAAGTCCACCACTAAATCATGCCCCTAAGCAACACATCTATGCATCTGCTAAATAGCTCCGGGGGTGGTGAATTGACCACTTCCCTGGGCAGCCTGTTCTAGTGCCTGACAACCCTTTCATGTTGGCAGGGACTTTAAAGATCACTTAGTTCCAACCCCCCTCCATGGGCAGGGACACCTCCAGATAGACCATGTTGCACAAAACCCAGTCCAATGTGGCCTTGAGCACTCACAGGGATAAGGCTTCCCTGGACAACCAGTGCCAGTGTCTCACCACACTCACACTGAAGAATTTCTTCCTAATATCTCGTCTGACTCTACCATCTCCCACTTTGAAACTGTAAGCCCTCATCACTACCTGCCTATGCAAATAGTCCCTGACCAGATGTCCTGTAAGCCCTGTTTAGCTACTGGAAGGCTGCTCTATGGTCTCCCAAGAGCCCTCTCTTCTCCAGGCTGAACAATTCCAACTCTCTCAGCCTGTCTTCACAGGAAAGGTGCTCCAGCCCTCTGATTGTACTTGTTGCCTTCCTCTGGCCTCACTCCGAGAACTCCATGTCCTTCCTGTGTTGGGCGCTTCAAAGATGGACACAATACTCCAGGTGAGGTCTCATGAGAGTGGAGAAGACGGGGAGAATAATCTCTCTTGACCTACTGACCACACTGCTTTTGATGCAGCCCAGGGCACAGTTGGCTTTCTGGGCCATGAGCACACATTGCTGGCTCTTGTTGAGATTCTCATCCACCATCAACCCTGACTCCTTTTCCTTAGGGCTGCTCTCAATCCATTCTCCACCCAACCTGTAATTGTGCTTGGGATTGCCCCTACCCAGATGCAGGTCCTTGCACTCAGCTATTTGAACTTCATGAGGGTGGCATGGGCCCATCTCTTAAGCTTGTCGAGGTCCCACTGGCTGGTCTCCCCTCCACCTTGTTGACTGCATCACAAAACTTGTCACTGGCAATCTTGCTAAAGGATGCGCTCAATCCCATTGTCCAAGTAGCTGAACAGTGCTTATCCCAATACCAACCATTAAGGAATGCCAGTCATCACTGATCTCCCCTTGGACACCAAGCAATTGACTGCAACTCTTTGAGTGTGACCATCCAGCCAATTCCTTATCCACTGTGTGGTCCATCCACCAAGCCTCTCAAATTTAGAGATAAAGATGTTGTGTGGGACAGTGTTAAGCGTTTTTCACAAGTCCAGGTAGATTACATCTGTTGCACTTCCATTATCCAGCAATACACTAACCCTCTTCTATAAGGCCACTAAATTTTTCATGTGAGATTTACTTTTGGGGAAGCTATGTTGGCTGTCACAAATCACCTCTTTTTTTTCCATGTGCCTTAGCAGAGCATTCAGGCGGATATGCTTCCTGATCTTGCTGGGCACAGAGGTAAGGCTGACTGGACTGTGGTTCCCTGAGTCTTCTTTTTAACCCTTTTTAAAAATGGAGGTTTTGTTTTCCCCAATTTCCAGTCAGTGGGAACTTAATCACGATGTCATGATTTCTCAAATATGATGGATAGTGGCTTCCTGACTTCGTCTGCTAGTGCTTTCAGGACCCACAGATGCATCTTGAAAGGTCTCACAGGCTTGTAAATTCTGTGAAAAACTTTTTCCTAATAGCCAATCTAAAGCTCCCCTGGCACAATATTTCTCTTGTTCTATATCTTGTTACTTGGGAGAAGAGATAAACCCTCACCTTACTACAAACTCCTTTCAGGTAGTTGTAAAGAGGAGCAAGGTCTCCCCTCAGCTTTCTTTTCTCCAGACTAATCAGTCAATCTCAGTTCTCTCAGCCGCTCCTCATAAGACTTTTTCTCCAGACCCTTCACCAGCTGCATTGCATTTGTTAGGACAGTCTCCAGCACCTCAATGTCCTTCTTGTAGTGAAGGGTCCAAAACTGAACACAGTACTCGAGGTGCATCCTCAGTACTGCATACAGGGGGACAATCACCTCCCTAGTCCTGCTGGCCACCCTATTTATGGTACAAGCCAGGATGCCATTAGCCACCTTGGTCACCTGGGCATACTGCTGGTGTTCAGTGAGCTATTCACCAGCACCCACAGGTCCTTTTTCTTTGGGCAGCTTTCCAGACACTTTTCCCCAAGCCTGTAGAACTGCCTGAGGTTGTTATGACCAAAGTGCAGGACCTGGCACTTGGCCTTGTTGAGCTTCATGCAATTGGCCTTGGCCCATCAATCCAGCCTGTCCAAGTCCCTCTATAGAGCCTTCCTACCCTCAAACAGATCAAGACTCCCCCCTCAACGTAATGTCATCTACAAACTTACTGAGGGTGCATTTGATCCCCTCATCCCAATCACTGATAAAGATAGTAAACAGAAGTGGCCCCAATACTGAGCCCTGGGAAACACCACTGGTGAGTGGCCACTAACTGGATTTAAAGTCTTTTACCAAAACTCTTTGGGACTGGCACAAAAATTGTTATTGTTACCAAATACCCTGACTGGCTAGTAGGGTGAAGTACAAAAGAGACTTGTAAATTAGTTTTAGTGACTTAAAGATGGTTTTTAATCTTCTGAAAGTCTTTCCATGGATTTCCTCCATCCCTTCTGCCCTCACCTCTGTTGTTTGTGTAAAGCACCAGGTATTCAGGGACAGATCCAAACTGTCTTCTTTAATGTGTTTCCCTTGTTCCATTTCCACTTACTGCAAAATAACTCAGCATAACTCCCTTATGTGCGGTGGGACTAAATCAATGGAGAAAGTACCAGCTAAGCAAAATGAGGCCAATGGCATTGTTATGATAGTGGAAAAAGTGCTTTAATCTTAAAGCTGGCTATTCTGGTACAAGGTTAAGAATCTGAATTTGTTTTACCTTTGGAAAAGAGTCAAACAAAAACATCTGTGAAGAAATATTGTGTGACACTTGAAATACTTTCATACCAAAAGAGTGGAGACTATTCTTGTTACCAGAGATTCACAGTACCTTTCCCTAGTTTTAGGGTTTTCCCTTTGAAGATGTCTAAAAGAAAGGGAAAAAATTAGCAGTCCCTTTTCATCTCCTTTCCTACTCTTTTCCAGTCATAATAATCTGCTACTTTTAAACTTTAGTTTTGTGACTCACTAAAGAAACACAGATGCTTCTTTTTCAAGCTGTAAAGAATTTGTTAGTAAATGGATACAGAGAAGTTTACTGTGCAAAAGCTTTTTGTTTTTTTCCACTTAAAAAATTAAATAAATATTTTTGATCAGCATCTTCTCTTGATCTAGTATTACCCAGGAGGTTTCTTTGCCTGCAGCCAGCTGGCAAATCTAGAACTAATCTGTAAATAATTGTCAGAGGCTAAGATGGCAAAGGGAACACAAAGGAACAGCTGTATGGCTTGCCCCCATTACACACAGCTTGTCTGTTCAAGTCTGCCAGGAGCTTTACTCTGGTATGGCTTGCAAATCCACCCTGCCCAAAGCCCACAGACAGGTGTTTTGTTTGATGTGCACTTTAGCTAGGCTACAGTGTAGTTCAAGAGCGGAACACTGCATCTCCCCTCCATTATGGGAGGAAACACAACTTTCTGACTGGTGGAATCTTATTGTAGGGCCCTGATTTATGTGCTGACAAAAAGACATGCAGTGTATTGTGTTTCAAATAAGGTGTACCCACCTTTCCCATGAGCATCAAGTCCAAAAGGAATACACAAGCTGCTGCACATGCCTACACCTTCCTGAAAAGGATGGCACAGAAAAACCTTCTCTACATTAAAAAACTACAAACAAAACCCGCACAAACAAACAAACAAAAACCCCAATGAAAACAGAACAACAACCAACAACCAACAAAACAAAAAACAAAGTCATGAAGCAATTTTTACTTTAATCTAATTTGAATTTTAATAAACTTTAACAACAGTGGCAGACTGGAAGGAAATTATGCTTGAGAAGAGCCAAAGGAGGCCATTACTAGCTAATTACTCTACAATTTAAAATGCATGCTCTATTCTTCGTGTACAGGATTTTATAAGCTCCCCATGGTATATGGAAAGTTACAGCTGAAAGTCACAGCCAGGAATATAGCAAAATGGAGGCCCTATTGATAGCAATCTGTGGTTTTCTCTCTAGCAGGTCCACATAATTTTGGTTGCAAATAAAATGATATCCTGGTGACCATGCTTCTTCATCAAATCAGAAATAATTTGCAGATCAAATGCAGAAAAGAAAGGAAGCATGTGGACTCCAGGATTTGAGAACAATAACTGTGTGAGTGGGTGAAGGTGTAGGAGTTGGAGAGACTATACTGAAATATTCTCTAC